CGGAAACTTTATAAAATTCAAAATTTTACCCCACAAAAAATTAATTAATTAAAAAAGTGTCTGGTGATTGCGTTTGAAGTGGCAGTGGGTTAAATGGGCAGTGAGTGATTCAGGCAGTGAGGTGAATTGAGGAGTGAGGGATTTGGGCAGTAAATAAGGAAAAGTTAACAATTAGAAAGGAAAACTTAAAAAATTTTTTAAATTAAAAATTAATAAATTTTTAATTTAAAAAATTTTTTAAAAATTAATAAATAAAAAAAAATAATAAAATTTTTTAATTAAAATTTAAATTAAAGATTTTTTAGCAAATAATTATTTTATTTTACATTAATCGCTGCCCTTTTATTAGGTTTGCTTACAGAGCTGTTTCGAAACAAAAAACAGTTTGAAAATCGAAATTTCGAACAACTCTGATCATTTATGTTGAACTATAGGCAAACTTACCGTATTTCCTATATTAGAGCCCCACCCTCTGTTAGAGCCCCACCCTTTAATACAGCCCCACTTTGGAGGGTAGTTGAAAAATAGAGCCCCACCCTCAATTAGAGCCCCACCCCTAATACAGCCCCACCTAAAAATATTGGAGGAAAAATAAAAAATATCCCAATAATTTTTAAGATTATTAAGAGTTAAGGAAATAAAGGGCCATGGGGATATAAGGATTAAGGGAAATATGAGGGATTAACTAAGGGGAAAAGGAAGAGATATAGTGGGTATTCCTTTTATCCCCGATAGATATCCCTTATATCACCGATATCCCTCTTCACAAAAAAATCCCTTCATATGCCTACTAATACCTCATTCAAAATATCACTCTTAACCCCGCTAAATCTCTCAATATAAAATTAATCCTCTGATATTCCCCATAATCCCTTAAAATCGCTTGTATACCTATATATGATCCATCAATGTCAAATACAAGTCCCCTAATATTCCCTTTAATCCGTCAAAATCTACAAATATTTTATAATTAATCTTACCCTCATTGAACTATTGCGATTATTTCGTTACTCATTGCTTATAAAATTTTAATTTTTTTGAAAAATTGAAAAATATCGATTGTCTTTCGATATTTTTTGGTTTTATCAACCAACCCCTCCGGCCTATCTCTAGTTGCAATGGATATAATAAATGGGATTCTATCTCAAAAGAGGGTTGAAAAATAGAGCCCCACCCTCAATTAGAGCCCCACCCTTTAATACAGCCCCACCTTGGAGGATAGTTGAAAAATAGAGCCCCATGGGGCTCTAATATAGGAAATACGGTATTTATAAGTTGTTTACCAAATTATAAAATTAAAAGGGCATTCACAAGAAAACAAATTTTTAAAGTATTTTTCTTTTAATTTCAAAAACTGACGAAATAATTTCCGGTATCCTCTTCTTATGTTATTGCCATTGAATGTCATTGTTGGCTCCGGCTCCGGAGCTGGCGATTTTCGGAGCCGCTCTATGTTGGCTTCGGGCTCCGGGTGGAAAACCAATGAATTATTTTTCATTGGGGGATTTGGACAGATAAAGTGAGGATATCGGGTGAGTAAAATATACTTAACGCCGAAATTACGCATAATTATTCTTCTAGTGTTACTCGAATTGTTTTTGCGTGAAAAAGTTTTTTAAAAACGTTTACTGCCCAAATCACTACTGCCCATATCACTCACTACCCAAATCATTCACTGGCGATATCACCAGACACGTTTATTTCACCAAACAAACATGTGTTTAAAGAATTTTTTTCTACGATTCTTTACTTTTATTTTGTACTTTTCTATACCTAAAAGTTTCGAAATTTCGAAAAAATATAAAATCACAGGATTAAAAAAATTTATTATTGTAGTTTATGCCTATTTGTATTCAATTTAATAAAATTAGCCTTTACCATTGTAAAGTGCCTTGCCCTTTCTCTTCTCAATGCTCGTGTCTTTTAATTGAAAAATTTTAAAAAATCAAAGTCAACTGACAAAATTTTTATTAAAGTGCAAAAAAAAATTAAAAAATAATAAATAAATAATTTTAATAAATTAAAAATTTTTTTAAAATAGAATTAAATTTAGGATTACCGTATTTGCTAATATAATTACACAGGGTAATTATTGTTTCAACCTCTCGCTGGAGGGGGTAATTAATAGGGCGCGGGTAATTATTTGAGAGAGGGACATTATTTCAGCATTTAAAGTAAATGTTTGCAGAATTAGCTAAAATATATATATATACAAATATTTTCTTTCCCCACAATCGAGGAACAGCTTTAATGGTCATTTAATATTTTTGTTTGAATTGTGGGTGTCTGTGTATGTTATCTCAGTATCTTCTAAATCGATAGCCCTAATATGAAATTGAGGTTAAATTAATCTCGTCTGACAAGAGGAAACATTGATCTTAAACTTTTATTTAATTTTATTTATTTCAGAAAATAATTTTAAATAATTAAAATAATTAAATAAATTATCCTTGTTTTCCTTTTGAATGATTTTGGAGGATTATGTATTAAATTATTTCCTTTCCTAATAAAATTACATTAAATACTTAGGTTGTGTTATAAATAATTAGCCCCCTTAAATCATTAAAGTTTGAAAATGTAATCTCAATGTTCAGATCTCCAATCTGTTTAATTTGCTCAAGGGGGGCTAATTATTTATGACATAACCTAAGTAATCATTAATTTCGTCCTAATGTCACCCGACCCGGACATTAGAATTTCCAACCAGGACATTTTTTAGTCTGAGGCTCGGACTAGAAATTTTTTTTCTAAAAATTTTTTTCTCGTTTTTAAACCTCTTTACCTTTTCTCACTCAATCATTTCTTATTTTGCCTTTAAATCAATCAAATAAATTGCAGTAAAAATAATTCATTAATTAATACATGCGCAACCCCTTTTATTTAACCAACAAAATTTTAAACACCCAAAAATAGCAGAAAAAAATTTATTTTCTCGTAATTGAGCATGTAATTTGATTTAAATGTTTAAAATTTTTTACAACTGAAAAAAATGTTTTTTATTTTATTTGGCAAAGAATGTTATATATGGAAGTAAGTTACCTAATTCATTTTTTTAAATTGTATACATACATAAATAGAATGCGAGAGTTTGTTAAAAAAGTATTATTATTTTTTATTTAAAAATTTTTCCCTTACTGTTCCAAAATATATTCTACTATTCGAGCTAAAATTTTTTAATTATTCAAGATTTGAGTGAAATTGAATTTCGTTCCGCTCCTTTTCTCTTTCCTCAATTTCTGATATGGTTAGACTTAAAATGTGCCAAACTTAAAATAATCCACAGATAGACAGAAAACATAGACTGCTGGGAAATCCTGCGGATTAGTGGATACCTCTGGAAGAAAGGTCTTGAGAATAATTTTAGGGACGGATGTAGATAATATGATAGTATTCCTGGTCTGCGGGCAATGAAAGCCAAAAAGAATTTCGAAATTTTTGGAAGGCTACAAAGCAGATTTGTTCCATTTCTCCAAAAAAGTTCATTCCTAGAGGTGTGTATTTAGCCTTGGTCCTCGGCTAGATTTCTGGCTCTGGCCGAGACAAGGTTCCGAGGGCCGAAGTGAATCGATCCTCAGCCTCGGCAAGACCTTAACCGTAAAAAAACTATAATACTACATATAATAACCCCAATACCCAACATATTCCTTCTAAAATTTTTTATAATTAAATTTTATTTTCTAGATTAAATTTTAAACATGTTGAAAAACAACAAAAGGAGAAAGAAAAATTCAAAGAAAAAAATCAAAAAATCTAAAAAGAATGCAAAAAATTTAAACAAAAAGAATAGAATTTGTAGAAAGAAACTGATATTACTTAAGAAAAACTCTACAAAACAGCCTTTCAAAATAAATTCTGGCATTATACGGTTATATTTTCTTGGTAACCTAGTATGCACCATCCGAACTGATTTTTGCAAGAAATTGAAAAATTATAAGAAGAAGATTAGGAAGATTAGAAAGTCTAAGAAGAAGGCTAAAGAGAGAAGGGAGAGAAAGGCTTTGAGTAAAGAGAAGCTTCCGATCTTGAGAGACACTACAAAGCAATTTTTAAATCTACCTGGGGAGATAAAACTAGACATTCTTAAATTTCTTAAGTTTAATCAACTATTATCTGTCCAACAAACCAATTATTATTTTTATTGTTTGATTAGACAAAATGAGGGAATATTAGCTTGCAGAAGACTGCATGCTGTTAAACCTATTATGGTTAAATTTAATTTTAAAGGGTTTTTGAAAAAAATAAAATTTAAGGTTAATTCAAAGGCACTTATTGAAGAGGATTTTTTCAAAATCGAATCTGGAATTTTTAATATTTCATTAAATGATCAACTTGTGGAAAGGGTAAATTAATGATCTGATCAGAGGCGGGTCGGAATTTCGATTTCCGACCTTTTTTTCCTTCTGATTTCCGAAAAAATTTTGATTTCCGAGTTCCGACTTTTGAGCCAGTTCCGATTTCCGGCTCCTCCGTTTTCGATACTTCTGACTGTTCCAACCCACCTCTGATCTGTATAGAGTTGATGATTTCCTTCTTTAAGTGGCAGTCTGCTGTAGATAGACGCATCCCTGTTTACTTAAGTTTGTGTGATACTCCTCCAAACAACAAACTTTATACAAGGGTGGAAATGAAAGAGTGTGAAGGTTTGTATTTGAAAATTCATTACTTATTATCTTCTAAACCGAACCAAAGAATCGAAGCATATCTATTCGGTTCCTAGGTTTTCCCCAGATATCTCAAGATTTCCAAGAAATACAATCGAGAATCTGGAGCAGGCCAGCTATAACTACGGGGGGATCAGGCCAACTATAACTACACCTTGGTATAGATCGATGCATCTCGACGAGCTGAATCGAATCATATCAGGGTGTCCTGAATTCGACGATTTTTAACGAAGTTATAGCTCTGCGGTACGTTGGCCTCGCGGTACGTTGGGTATACCCCATAGAATCTTGTCCTAAAATAACATCTTGACTCAAACGTTTAATCTTTTAGATCATTATATGTTAAAATTGCCCGTCTATCCAAAAAACATCGAAGAAATGAAGATTGTCCGTTGCTGGATGGAAAAACTATTTCTTTGTTATTTTGATCATGCAGAATTTACGGATTATTTTTTCAATCCGGAAATGATCAAAATACTTTTTGGAAATGAAAAAAATATTCCAACCCAATTTCGTTCAGAACGAGTCGAAATAGTTTATTGCAACGTTAATATCAAAAATGTATTAAGATTTACTTTGGATCATTTAATTACTAATCAACTTAGAATATTCTTTGCATCATTCGACAAAAAAGAAAAATGCAACAAATATTTATTAGATTTGTTGAATAATGGAGGCAAGAATATTGTTTCAATTTGGATTAGTCTAGAGACGCGAAAATTGCTAAATATGATTCTAATGGTAAAAAGTTAACTTATCGCAATTGTAAAATTGAGTTGTTCCTTCCTTAAACGGAAGAAAACAACGGGGGGATTTAATTCTTTTAAAAGTCAGTCTATCAGTTTTTAATTAATTATTAACAAAACGTAGGGAAATAGACAAGAAGTTAATGAGATTATAAAGGATTAAGAGGGATATCTGGGGATTCTGAAGGAATAAAGTGAACATTAAAGGACTTGTGTGTGGAGACGAGGGATCAAGAAGATATTGTTGGATTTGGAGAGATATCGAGGGATATAAGGCGATTTTAAGCGATTAATGTGAATATCAGTGGATTAAGGTGGATATCGAGATATTTAGCGTGAGATGAGGTATATGTGGATTTAGGGATTCAACGGATTTTAGAAATTATGAGAGATATCAAGGGATTTTTGGGGATTAGGAGGGACATCAAGTGAGTCGAGTACATTGCCACTCTCAGGGTTGATCTCTGTCTCGGTTTCTACTCTAAGTTTTTTAACTCCCGACCATCGCTACTGCTTAGGACTACGTCCTCAATCTTTTGCCTCCCAAAAAGTGATTCTTTAGCATTTGGACACATGACACACTTAAAAAATAATTTCAAACTTTTAGCACATCATGACACAGGATTGTTCAAATTTTGTCTCGTGTGTTATAATCGATTTCTTTTCTGTTCCTGAAATTGATTCAGATCAAAACACAGAGAAATCGTTTACTATTACAAACTCTTATAATTCCAATGTGATATTCGATCTTCATTGGGATGGTGATAAGCTTATAATATTCAAAAAGGAGGATGTAAGTTTATTTTAACGTATTTTTATGGGCTACCCGACACTTGAGGATATGACTTTTGAGGACCAGACATTTGAGGACCGACTTTTGGGGACGCGACCTTTGAGGACGCGACCTTTGGGGATGCGACTTTTGAGGACGCGACTATTGAGGATGCGACCTTTAAGGATACGACTTTTGAGGATCAGACATTTGAGGATACTCTAATGTCAAAAAAAAAATAAAAATATTAATTTTATGTTAAAAATTTAAATTTTATAATTTTATGGGTTGCTCAAGGCCTAACGAGCAAATATAGTAAATTATTAATTAGAGGGGCCAGCCCTAATTAAGAGAGATGTTGATTATGCGTGCGATGAATAGAATAGAATTGAAGAGAATACGCAGAGGTAATGCAAGCGAGCGGGGTGAATGATTATTGGTTAACCACTTGGTCAGGCTTATAGCCGACCGAACACTAGGCCATTGATTAATGAAGAACTAAGTTGGAATGAACATCAACTAAGCTGCTTTTCCTTATTTTCCTTTAGCTTAAATGCACCTTTTCTCTAGGCGGGGTTTTTATTACTTTCTCAAGTATTACACATTTAAGCTTTTCATACTTTTCAATAGTTTCTCAAGAATTACACCTTTGATCCTTACAATATTGAATTTTCCAGATATTTAGATGATCACGACGGAAATTGTTTTCTTCTTTATGATTCGCGAGTTTTTTTCGGGTTAAGGAGTTATTAAGTATTAGCGGTGGTGTATAAGTGAATTTGTTGGATCTAAGAGGTTTTGATCAGGGCGGATTTAAGTGTTATCAAATGAGTTTAACCTATTGATCTTTCGATATCACGCCCAAATAAGGATATCAGCGGATTCAAATGGATATCGGAGGAATACCTCGATGTCTGGAAGGATATAAAATTAAGAAAGTTTAGGAAGGATAAGAAGATATGAAGTGTACCGGTTAAGGATGATTTAAAATTTTAATAACAACCTAATAGATTTTGATATTCTTGGAAGGTTATGACCAGATCTCTTTAGTTGGTGCTGCAGGCTAAAATTTTGAGAATTTCTGAAGGCCAGATGTGAAATGCCAAGCTTTGTAAGGCCAAATAACCAGATATCTAAATCAGTGATATACACCTTACTCCACTTAATATCCCGATATCAGGCCCAAATCCCTTTATATTCACTTTAACCCCTTGAAATCTCCGACACCCGATTTTCGACACCTCTGGCTGTTCCGACCCACCTCTGCTTCCAATGAATTTCTCTGTGGCACATTCAAATGAATGATAGAGAAAAGATTAAGAGCAAAAAATTATTACTTTTTTGTGACTTGTTTTTGTGTTGTCGGACACACAAAACAAGGACGGACACGGACTACTTCGAAAACTGAAATGATTATATTTAATAATGATCACTATTTGCTCATTATGCCTTGATCAACCCATTAAAAATTTTTTAACATAAAATAACATTTTTATTTTTTTTGACATTAGAGTATCCTCAAATGTCTGATCCTCAAAAGTCGTATCCTCAAAGGTCGCATCCTCAATAGTCGCGTCCTCAAAAGTCGCATCCCCAAAGGTCGCGTCCTCAAAGGTCGCGTCCCCAAAAGTCGGTCCTCAAATGTCTGGTCCTCAAAAGTCATATCCTCAAGTGTCGCGCCACGTTTTTATGTATAATCTGTCGTTATTATCTTTATATTGTTATGAATTTTAAATGATTATGAGTATGAGCGAAAATAAAAATTTTAAAAAGTTCCAACCCTTTCGCATTTAAAAGCTACACATAAACGGGAGATATATCTGTTAATCTCCCAAATACTCTCTTAATTACTTCTAATCCTTCTATATCCCTCCATGGGGACTCAACTGAAGGTAAATAACAATTAATCACAATTAAAAATTTTATGGAGGAGGGAGCTTATTTTAGATGTTATTTTGGAAGGGGGGGGGGGCTTATTTTAGAGGGCGGGGGCTATTTTAGAGGATTTAAGGTATTCAAGCGGACAGCCCTAATTCGGACTCGTAATCTATATTAGAACCAAGATTTTTAGATATTTGTTTAATTTTTACTTACATTACAGTAAATAGACTTCTAAAAATAATAGCTTTTTTATTTTAATTAATAGTTTGTATTTTCTGCAATCATAACAATCCCAGTAATAAAATCCTATCTTTTGATCTGAATTATGTTTATTTATACATGCTTTAATCGTTAAAATTTCTGAAATAATTCATATTGTGAAAAGAAATGAAAAAAAGAACTAAAAATAGCAAAAAATAGTTTTCTCATTTTAATTATTACTTAATAGCTATTTTAATATATATTCTTTTTAATAAGTCGAATCATATCCATAACTTTAGTATGCTTCATTATATATTGTATGTATGTATACTCGATATATTCATTGTTGTTGTTTTTGTTTCATAAGAGCATGTTTTACTTATGCTCCAAAAAACTGAAGGTTCATAAACCATGCCTCAAAAGAAAGTTAAAAAAATCACCAAATACCGTATTTCCTATATTAGAGCCCCATGGGGCTCTATTTTTCAACTATCCTCCAAGGTGGGGCTGTATTAAAGGGTGGGGCTCTAATTGAGGGTGGGGCTCTATTTTTCAACCCTCTTTTGAGATAGAATCCCATTTATTATATCCATTGCAACTAGAGATAGGCCGGAGGGGTTGGTTGATAAAACCAAAAAATATCGAAAGACAATCGATATTTTTCAATTTTTCAAAAAAATTAAAATTTTATAAGCAATGAGTAACGAAATAATCGCAATAGTTCAATGAGGGTAAGATTAATTATAAAATATTTGTAGATTTTGACGGATTAAAGGGAATATTAGGGGACTTGTATTTGACATTGATGGATCATATATAGGTATACAAGCGATTTTAAGGGATTATGGGGAATATCAGAGGATTAATTTTATATTGAGAGATTTAGCGGGGTTAAGAGTGATATTTTGAATGAGGTATTAGTAGGCATATGAAGGGATTTTTTTGTGAAGAGGGATATCGGTGATATAAGGGATATCTATCGGGGATAAAAGGAATACCCACTATATCTCTTCCTTTTCCCCTTAGTTAATCCCTCATATTTCCCTTAATCCTTATATCCCCATGGCCCTTTATTTCCTTAACTCTTAATAATCTTAAAAATTATTGGGATATTTTTTATTTTTCCTCCAATATTTTTAGGTGGGGCTGTATTAGGGGTGGGGCTCTAATTGAGGGTGGGGCTCTATTTTTCAACTACCCTCCAAAGTGGGGCTGTATTAAAGGGTGGGGCTCTAACAGAGGGTGGGGCTCTAATATAGGAAATACGGTAAATCATAAAAATTTAATCGCATATGAATCCGTAAATGTTTTAAAAATATAATTTCAAAGAATCAAATTAAAATGATTTAAAAATATTTATTATGTTACATATGGAGAAAAATATTTATTATGTTACAGGGCACGAAAGAGCGAAACGAAACGAAACGAAATTTCGATCAGCCCTGATCTGGAGTAATATTCAGTCTTGCAATATAATTTTGTTTAGTACATTTCCAGCATTTTGTGAACGATTTGGTATTGATATTGACATTGTATGTGTTGTTAATTGTTTGCAGTTAATTGTTTGCTAACAATAAATACGAGTACAAGCAAATCTATAATTTCCAGGCATCATTTAAAATTGTAGAAAATTATTTAATAATTTATCTAGGCAAAGTTTTGAAAAAATTATTTCATCATTTATTGCCTTATAAAATTTCTGCAAATTCTCAAGCGGCATTACTCTCTTTTTTTCAGGGAATATAAATTTCTTACAACCGCCAAAGAAGATTTTATTCAATATTTTTACTTTATTCCTTTAAAATAATTTTTTCTTCAATTAATAAAATTTTATTTAAAAAATTATTTTCTAGGTTAAAAAAATTCTAAAAATAAAATGAATAAATCTGAGAACAAAAATAGAGATCCTAAAGGGAAACAAATAATTTTGAAAGACAAAACTAAACTAAAGTTAAATCTCCCAGATGAAGTAAAGCTAGATGTTCTTAAGTTTCTTAGCTTTAATCAACTATTATCCTTCCAACAAACCAATTATTCCTTTTATTGTTTGATTAGACTAAATGAGGGGATATTAGCTTGTAGAAGAATGTATTCCGTAAAACCTATGATGATCCAATATATTGTTAAAAGTAATGAAGAAATAAAACATTATGGGGATCCGAAGAAGACTGTTAAAAAATATGGAACCTTTAAAATTTTATTAGATGATGAGATTATGAGAAAAGTAAATTGTGATATAAAATTTGATAAAAATAATTTTATTTTTTAAGTGGCAGTCTGCCGTGGATAGACAAATCCCAGTTTATTTAAGTACATGCGGTAATCCTCCAGACAACAAAATATATACAAGAGTAGAAGGGATTTATGTCGGTGTGTTAACTTTTATAATTTGTATGTCTAAACAGACATGGACACGGATACTGATTTCGGTATCCGTATCCATGTCCTAGTCTGTGTCTAAATAAGTCTTACTAGTGTGGATTTTTATTTAATCTCCTAACAAGTACTTATACGCTCCTACCATAATTCGTATACTCGTATCTACAACTACCTGATACGTGTACGCGCAAAGTAATAAGGGTTAAGGATTAGGTTAACGGATGCTAGGGCGGATCTAAGTGTTACAACCGGAGGTGGCCGAGATTTAGCTGATGTTGACGTGCAATAGAATAACATTTATCCGGTGTAGAAATAAACAATGTAGGCGAAGTTGGAAAGGGCTTGGAACAGACGAAGGCAATCAGGGACTAGCCGCGCTAGTATGATTCAACTAGACTGACGCTTTCACTGGCTTCTATACTATAGCGATACCACTACACAACACTAAGGTCCTGGGAAAGACGATGTCTGAGAATCTCGAATCCGTTTTTGTCCTAAAATCCCTTTTTCCTATTTTACACAACACTCTTATTCAAACTTTAACTTTAAGATTATTTAAAACTTCCTATCTATCCACAAAACATTGAAGAACTGAAGATTGTCCGTTGTTGGTTGGAAAGATTATTTATTTGTACTTTTGATCATGCAGAATTTAAAGATTATATTTTCAATCCAGAAATGATTAAAATACTTTTTGACAACGAAAAATATATTCCAACTCAATTTCGTGCAAAATACGGGACATTAACTTATCGCAACCTCAATATCAAAAATTTATTAAAATTTAGTTTGGATCATTTAATTATTATTAATGAACTTGGAATTAAATTTAAATGCTTAGATAAAAAAGAAAGATGCAACAATTATATTTTAGAACTGTTAAATAATGGAGGCAGAAATATCCATTTAATTAGATTTAATATAGAGAAGCAAGCATTGTTGGATTTGATTATAAAGGTAGTTATAGAGGCATTTCGGATCTGGATCTTTGGTGATTTGTCATTCCTGATCTTGGTCACTTTTAATAATTTACTACACTCAGAAATGTAGTCACAAAATGATAATTTTAATTTTAATAATGAATAAGGGTGTCTCTTTCCAAAAGACCAAATATAGGGCGAAGCGTGTCAAATATGGCAAAAATAGGGCGAAATTGGCAAAAAATAGGGCATTGTTTTAAACACTTAAAAATACTTAAAATTTAAAATAGAAAGCTTTATTATGCTTGTTTTTTACAATTTTAAACTAAATTAAACTGGGACTACGCAAGAGACAACTTAGAAACGCGACGCAAGTCCAAAAACGACGCAAAACGGAACGCAAGATATTTTTTTATCAAAAATCCGCTTCCACCTACCGCAAAATTCTGCCTTTTTGAGCCTTCCGTCTTCCGTTTTTTTATATTTCCCTTACGTTATCATTCAAAATTGTCCATTCCTGTTAGTTAAATTACCAAACTCTAAGGAGGGAAAAATGTCTGACCGTTATTAAAATTTTAAAAATATTTTCAAATATTTAGCATATTGAAACAAAGGATTGTTCAAATTTTATCTCTTATATTGAAATTATATTGAATCAAGATAAAACAGTTATTAAAGAAGATATAATTAAAAATTCTCGAAATCCAAAAATCTTATTCAAAATTTATCGTGATGAAATGTGTGGGCATATTTTGATCGTTAAGAAAATTGATGAAAAGCTATAATTTATTCTTATTTTATATTGCTTTTTTAATTCTAAATGTGTTAAATAATCCTTTTTTTATTAAACATTTTTTGGTTAAAACTTTTGAAAATTTAACTAGATTTAACGGGGGATACAAGATAGATGTCTGGCAGCGGGTGTGGAAGAATCGCTTTAATGGATAATTTGATAGGATTTTGACCAAAATAAGTTTGGGGATTTTCTTAAGCGGGTATTTAAAGATAACTAATTTTTAATTTATCAAATAAAAATAATAACAGCATGAATCGAAACTCGTTTGAATCTTTGCTGATTTTCTAGATTTAGAAACGAAGTAAAAACTAAGTAATTACTCTTCTTCTTTCTATTATAAATTTCTTAGATACGCCAAACAATTTTTGGAACTTATGCAGTTTAAGTACACACCCCATTTATTCGCGAAGAGAGGAGACATTTGTAAAATAAAATATGTACAGAATGGCTTTCTTTCTTCCTCAATTTCATTCAATTTTCTCTGTTACACATACTCAATAAGAGACATTAACAAAGAAACGATTAATTTTTGTTTTCCAATGTCACCAAAATAGAAATTAAAATTTGAATCAATATTTTTATTTTTTATCCATTTCAGTATTTAAATGGCAATAAAGTTCCCAGGTCTGCGTTTTTATAACTAAGGTCCTCTTTTTGCGTATTTTCGGGATTTTTGCGTGTTTTAGAATCATATTTGGTACTTTTCTGTTTTGCCACACCCCACCCATATATTCGCAGGATATATTTTCGATTTTTCCTTAATTCGAACAGAAAGGTTAGTATTCTTTTTTCCTCAATTTCACTCAATTTTCCCCCTGGCATGTTCAATGAGAGACACCAACAAAGAAAAGATTAATTTTTCTTTCCAACGTCATCAAAATTGAAATCAACATTTGGGAAAATCAAGTGAGCACGGAAGATTGAGTCCACAGGGAAAATTAAGTGAAATTGAGGAAGAAAGAAAACTGACCTTTCTGTACGAATTAAGGAAAAATAGAACATATATCCTGCGAATATATGGGTGGGGTGTGGCAAAACAGAAAAGTACCTCATATTTTTTTTATCAAAATATTGCTCATCTGTGCATCAGATCAGAGATGTCCGCATGGACCGATCAGTTGCCATTCGATTCAGCTCAATGAGTTAATCATTTTGTATTTACTGACCATTTTGTAATAAACTTTCTTCGCGAATAAATGGGGTGTGTACTTAAACTGCATAAGTTCCCAATTTTTAACGGATTAACAAATTTTAACGGATTAATTTTGGTACTAATCTCTTTAGCTCAATGAGAGGAATCGTTTAATACTAAATTTGCAAAGATTCAAAAATCTTGAAGCAAGTTATGGCCGCGCGTCGTTTTGGGCGAGTCACTAATAGTATTAATCTAAAATTGCCCCATCTAAAGATTTATTCTCTCATTTTTTGTGAGAATTTATGTTATTAGTCCCCTTTCAAGGGGCAAATATGTAGGGGTAAATTCAAATAAATGTAAGGGGAAGCAAGCCATCTTTTTTCAAATTGAACATATAAAATGGGGGAGAATTTGTTGTTGATGGTCAGTTTTAGGGTTTTTCATCAATATTTTTGCGAGCCTTAGTCATTTTTAGGGGTTTATTGAATATTTTTTTCCTTTTTTCTTCGCTTTAAAAAAATTTTAATTTTTTAAAAATTTATTTTCTAAAAATTAAAATTATAGAAAAAATGTTATTAAATTTTCCTGTTGAAGTAAAACTAGACATTCTTAAATTTCTTAAATTTAAACAACTATTATCTGTCCAACAAACCAATTATTATTTTTATTGTTTGATTAGACAAAATGAGAGAATGTTAGCTTGTAGAAGATTGGATTCAGTTAAAACTAACATGGTCAAATTTAATTTTGGTAATTCCAAGGCTGGCCTCTCCCTTTTTTTCCTTTCTATTTTTTTCGATTTTTTAAATTTTTTGGCAAATTCTATATCGTTACAAAGAGCTCTTCAAGTTGAGTCGAACGGTACCAAATTTATCGAAATCCGACTTAAATAAACATAGTTATGACCATTTGTTTTAATCCCTTTCAACATCACAAAAAGCATGTCCATCGAGGATTTAGCTTCATAATTCTGCTCAGAATCGCCAAATCGAACCGATCATAGTATCATTCTACTCAGCCCGAACAGCTCTTTCGAATGATATATTGTAAATTATATGACATGCAAATAAGCTCAAAATGGTCAGGGGAACAGAAAAAAAGGGGGGCAGCATTGGAATTACCTCAATTTTTGAGGGTTTTAAATAAACTAAAATTTTAGTGTGATTTAAAGAGATGCCGTGCAAGATTTATTTATAAAATTGTTAATTTGGAATCTGAAAGTTTTAATGTTTTATTGGAAGATAGTCTCTTGAAAAAGGTTAATAGTAAAGAGATTTGATTTAAAAAAATTAATTTACCCTATTCAAGTGGCAGTCTGCGGTGGATAGACGCATCCCTGTTTATCTGAGTACTTGTGATACTCCTCCAACCCAAAAATTATTTACATCTGTAAAGTTGAATGATAAAAGATTTGCAGGTTTTAAAATTATAAATATCCTTTAAGAGATTAAAATGTTAATTTTACATGTCCGGGCATTCGAGTTTCGTTATCTCACCAAAATTTTTGCAGACTTTTTCCCTTTTTGCGGACACATTTATTTAGGGAATTTCCATTTGAAAGGTTATTGAGAAGTAGAATGTCCGTGCATTCAGACGGGCATCGGGTTTGAACAGTCATATCCATAATCGAATACTATAGCTATTTAACCTTCAGCTATTGCAGAAGTTAATTAGGCGGTTGAAAGTGAATTAGCATTTTCAGTTGATCGGAGGTTTTCAGGCTGTCTTTCCAAATTCTTCGGTTCAATTTTTCGGTTGGGTTTGAATCGATAACTATAGGCCGGATTGGTGTGTCTGCATAGTTTTAGGAATTAAATAGTTTGTTTTACAATCATATCAGCGATATTCTGATCGGTCCTATCTATAAGATTGAGCTTAAATCTTTCTATTTTTCACCCTTAATTGAATATAAAATTTCAGTTAATTATATTTTGAAATTGCCTATAAATCCGCAAAACATTGAAGAAATGAAGATTGTCCGTTGTTGGTTGGAAAAATTATTTCTTTGTTATTTTGAATATGTAGAATTTTTCCGATATTTTTTCAATCCAGAAATGATTAAAATTCTTTTTGACAACGAAAAATATATTCCAACTCAATTTCGAGGAGTACATTGTGTTTCATGGATTACTAACCATAATATCAACAATTCTGTAAAATTTCATTTGGATCATTTAATTACTAAGTACTTTGATATAAGCTTCGAAGAACTCGGCAAAAAACAAAAATGCAACAAGCATTTACTAGAATTGTTAATTAATGGAGGCAAAAATATTCCTAATGTTAGAATTAGTACAGAAAAGCAAACATTGCTTGATTTGATCATAAAGGTAGTTAATTTGAGAAAAAAAATCTTGCCAAAAAATCATCGGGGACGGGGAGCTACCATAGTTAAGAACGTTCCCACTTTTCTTCCTAAATCGTCAGATAATGGGTTTTTTTTCATTCTTCAAAATTGTTCTCAATCCTTTATCAGGTAATTTATTTTATGCCTTATTTCCTTCGAAGGACACTCGAAATGTCACCAAAACTTAGACACTCCAAAAATCTGCAACTTTGATCACATATTGAGGGTTAGGGACAAAAAGCCAAAGATATCTGATAGGGGAGGGGAGAACAATATAAGAATCGTGAACTTGATTAATGAAGGTTTTAATTAATCTCCAATCTCCACATGATTAATCTCATAATTTTTAAATAGATTAGCGGAAATGTACCATGAGTGAACTATTTTATGAGCATTTTTCTTTGAAAAATTTTTTTCCTTGACCCCCGTTCCCCGACTTCGTCCCCGACATCATTTTGCTCCCCGTCCCCGCACCCCGCTCTGAAACAATTAGAAAACTCCGTACCCCGACACACCCGCCCCGAGCGTTCGGGGTGCAACTCTGATACATACATATATGTAAAAATAATCTTAAAAAATTTAGCATATTAAAACAGAGGATTGTTCAAATTTTATTTCGAATATTAAAATCGTTGACAGTAAAAGTTTAAATGGACAACATACACCAATTAAAGGAAAACCTATTTATATTATCAGAAATACTTTTAATCCAGAAATTATATTCAGAATTTATTGTGAGAAGACTTGGGGGAATATTTTAGTCTATACAATAAAGGGTGAAATTTTACTATAGAATTTTTAAAAACACCACATAACGTATTTCCTGAAGTAGTACTCACCCTGAATTAGGACTCCCCCTCAAATAATACTCCCCTTTGGAGGAGGGTTGAAAAATAGTAAACCCGGGAGTACTACATTTTTACTTGGTAAAAATGTCGTTTCCAGTCCCCCTTTTTTCTCACCAAGTTTTTACCTATAATTTGTCTGGTAACGACACTATTACCGTACTATTATAGGAGATACGGAAACTGAAATAACTAGCTTGGTCAATTATTGTTTTAACCTCTCATTGATGGGGGTGAAAAGATCTCGATGAAAAGATTGAATATATTTCTCGATTTCTTATCATGTGCACACTTTAGCTTTAAGCTTCATAAAAAATTTATTTGTTGGGATTGGTCTAAAAATTATTTAAAATATGAGCGAGATTAATTATATATTTTTAGTTGGCGATGAGGATTAACAAGATGATGATGAAAGGGATGAGGGTGAAGAAGTAGAGGAGAGAGATTGGATTTTTGAACATGTTTTTACCTATTCACTAACTTGTATTTATGTGAAATAAATAAATAATTTTCTCTTTTGCTCTCTACTATTGGGCCCGGAAAACCCGGTTTAATCCGAATTGGAACAAGATTCAGGCCGATTTCTAATAAAAATAATTTTGAAATTTGTTGATAATTCCATAAAATTTGGTTTAATTTTTGCGTCATTCGAAAGCCTTGACAAATAAATTTTTTTGAATTTAAAAAGCGTAATTTTGGATGAGCCACATATATTGCTTTTTAACCCAGGAAAATAATGGCTTTTGGCTCTTAAATTATTCTTCACGAGGCAAATTTCTATCCTCTAAAATTAACAGAAATGCAGTTAATCAAATAATTAAAAAATTTTAAATTTAGCTATAATTTACACGTTAATCCCTATACTCTTCTAAATTCTTTGCTTATAATTTCTCCCACCTCTAATTCATTCCTCTGATAATTCGTCCCCCTCAATTCGTCTGAAAGCTTCTTAGGAATTTTTAGATAGGACGAATTGAGAAAAGGAGAATTGAGGAGATTGGCGTGTTGGACGAAATGGGAATTCTATTTTTTGGGACGAATCAAGATTGGAAAATAATTCTTTCTCCCTCTTTTAAAATATTGAAATTCAGATAAGCAAATAATTTAAATAAAATATTTTTAAATAAATAAAATATACTTGTGTATTTAAATAATAATATTATTTTTAGAATAATTCATTTTTAATTAAATATTTTCTTTATTTTATAATTCAAATTAAAATATATACCGTGTATCCAGTGATGTCAAAGTTCCAGTTCCAGTTCCGGAACTAATTAGTTCTAGTTCCAGTTCCGGAACTAGAACTACGGAACTAACGATTATCTGGAACTAGTTTGGAACTAGAACTACGGAACTAGTAAATGCCTGGAACTAGCTTGGAACTGGAACTACGGAACTAGTAAATGTCTGGAACTAGCTTTGGAACTAGTTCTGGAACTAGTTCTTGGGAGGTATATTTTTGACAAAATTTACTCGAAAATTACCTGCAGCGCGCTGAGTATGGAAGAAATCTGGCGGCTTGAATTCCAAAATTCTAAAAATTTGAATTTTTTGAATTTTTTCGGCCTACGACCTTAGAAATTCTCAAAATTTTCGCCTGCGGCGCTGAAAACTTTAATTTTTTCGGCCTCTTAATCCTCGTATTTATCCTCCAATCTCCTTAAATCCTCCGTTATCACTCATAATCCTCTTATAACCCAGATATCACCAAAAATATCCCCAGATATCCTTTTAAATCCATTAATCCCTTCACATCCTCTGATCTCCCCGTTAAAATTTTTATGTGAAAATCCCGAAATCCCGCGGGATCCCGCTAAATTTTAGAACGGGATTAGGGATTAATCCCGCGGCATCCTGTCCCGTAAAAAATTTTGAAAAAAATCCCGTTACGAGATCCCGTGAATGCGATTTTACCGCACCAGGGTGCCGTGTCGAGTGTTTTGTTGAGTGTTTTGTCGAGTGTTTTGTCGATGTCAAGTGTACCTACAATGACATCCGTGTCAAGTGTTTTAACTTTCAAAAAAATCTTGAAAAGCACTTGACATTCAACACTAGAGAGTACATGGTGCAGACTGCATGAGAAACCACTCGACACTCGACATAGACGACTATCAAGTGTACATCGAAATACATCGAAATAAAAAAGGCACGGACCAAACCATTGACACTCAACGCTCAACACTTGACACTGATCAATTGTGGGAGTAGTGTTATGCCTTTATAGGTTAAAATTGATAAATTCTTTCATATTCAAAAATTTAAAAATTTGGAACTAGAACTAGCTTGGAACTAGTTCCAGAACTGGAACTGGAACTAAGGAATTTAAAAAATGTAGTTCCGGAACTGGAACTGGAACTACAAAAATTAAAAACCTGGTTCCGGAACTGGAACTGGAACTACAAAAATTAAAAATCTAGTTCTGGAACTGGAACTAGTTCCAGAGAAATTTTGGAACTTTGACATCACTGCGTGTATCTCCTAATAGAAACATTCTCTGAAAGAGACACACTCTCCCTTATAACCACACCCTATGAGAGGATCGAAAAATGAAAGCATTCTATAGTAGAAGCACACTTCTTAATATAACCACACTATAAGAGGATCGAAGCATTACTATAGTATTTTGGTGGAAAGGCTCGATATAAACCCATATTCAATTCGTCTCGAAGAGATGAGTTGAACGGTAACTTTTTCATTCGGAGATGCCTGTGGACAGAGATATAGGTCTCCGGAAATTGAAAAACCATAGGAACTCTTCGCTAATTTCGTTGGAAATCGGAAGGAAAAAACGTCAGAAATCTGAATTTCAACTTATCTCTAGTAATTATGAATATAATTATGAATATTGCTTAGTAATAAATTTATATGTATTTCAATTCTCCAGTACATTTAAAAAGGAAATCTTTATTTTATAATTTCTTATTTTTATTTAGAAATTTTATTTAAATATTTTAAAATTTAAACCAAAAATGACAACTTCGATCAACATTTGTATTATTCTCTTTTCAACTTTTTTATTATTTCAATTAATTTTACATTCTGATCAATGTAAAAAACTAGGAGATACTACATGCAAAAAGGACGGGGATTGTTGCGATAGCACCCATGTAAGATGTGTAATCAATTGGGTAAAAGGAGATACCACAGGATACTGCAAAAAAAGATGCCAACTCAATGGAAAGTGTGACCCTAAAAATGACAATTGTTGTGCAGGCTGTGAGCTTGATGATATTACAAACCAACACATATGTCGCTGATTTTAATATTTTTATTTCTTTGATTTTCTTTTTTAATAAGCTACAATTATATTTCATTTGGAATCTATTTTTCTAAATCATTCTTTAAGTTCAAGAAGCAAATTCTATCTAATTCCAAAACTTTCTTTTACATTTTTCTTCTAGTTGATTTTCATCCACCCGTTTTTCTATGATTTTTAAGGAATATGGGACACTAAAATATAAAATTTAAATTACTATAATATATTATTTTCTTTATGATTCGGAATAAAATTGTAATAAAAATTTAAATTTCAATAATAACTAGCTTTTAAAGTTCAAAATTAATTCTATTAATTGACCCGCTTTAATTAAAAAGATAATGTAATAAAAAGAAAAAAAATATTTTTGTATACATTTTATGAATTTTGGATATTTTATTTATTTTTTATTTATTTTTGGAAGGAAATTGTTAATAATCAAAAAAATCATTTACTAAATACCTCAAATATTTTGACGAATATTTTTTCGAAAAAATTTGAAATTTATTTCCTTTTAAATTTTAAAAAAGTCAAAAAAATTTCTTTTCAAAAATTATTCTGAAAAATAAGAGGCTTTAAAATTATAACAATAGAAAACTCATTGGGCGGTAGGAGTTTTTCGACTTTCGTCAGTGTTTGGCACTGGACTCTTAACTGTTTTGATAATTCTCGAGAAAAGTATTACTAATCAAACTAATAAATATCAAAATTTGGATGAGATTTAAATATTTGAAATATTTAATGATTCATAGTGAAGACATAAATAAAATATTTTTGTGAGTCATATTTTTATTTTGAATTTTTAAATTGGGCGTATTTAAAACTTATTTTGTTTATTTCACCAAATAGAGAACAAACTTGAGTAGCAATCAAAAGTCGAGATTAAAATCCCGACAAACTTTACGTCAATAGTATTCTAGGTTATCTCGCCATATTCTGATTTTTAATAGGAGGAGAGGGACGGAGGAGAGGAAGAGAAAGAATGGCCATAAATTTAATGAGGGGTTTGGGCCATTGTTGAGATTCTGGAATTAGGTATATAAGAAGTCTTTAGCAGAATTGCACTGATCGGGATCCCGACATAAAATCTAAATTTAAAGCCTCGTAGAAAGGTAGTCAAAGTTCTTTGTTGCTATTTTTGTTTATCTTTATTGAAAAAAATATTTGAGACTAAATATGCAAATCTAAAGGAATTTACTAAATAAATTCAAAAAAATGGAGTATATAAATTTATTGAAAATATTACCTCAAGAAGAAAACTTGTCATAAAAAACCAAATTTCCCTTAAAAATGATCAAACACCTATTAATTTTCTCTTTAATTATTCTAATTTTAATTCAAATTAATTTTGAAAATGTGGATGGACATTTTGGACATCCTCGAGGAGGAGAGGGATTACATAGAGGAGATAAGTCCTCTTCATCTTCAGAAGGAGGATTTCACAAAGGAAATCACCACAATCATCATAACAAAAAATATTATACTACAACACCACCAAATATTTAGTAATATTATTAAAGAATTATGAGGGAGTATACCTCTAAGAAATAAAAATAAAAGATTGATAAAATTAAAAAGTGGAATGATAATTTTGTGAAATAATATTTATAATATTAAATAAAATTTTAATGGAAATGTTTTCAATGGATTAAAATTTTTTTCCCCAATTATAAAACTATTTCTTCTACCTAGACTGCAGAGTTGTATTGGAATTCTGATTTCCAACGTTTTTTTACTTCTGATTTCCGATTTCAGAAAAAAATTTTATTTACGATTCCACTTTTGTTCCCACTTTTGATCCGTTCCAATTCTGGCTCTTCCGATTTACGACACCTCTGACTGTTCCGACCCACCTCACTAGACGTGCGAGCCTGGGTAGAAGAAACAAGAAAAAATATAACAGAACATGTTTTCGAGCTAAAGAGAATTACATGCTAACAAGGATTCATCTTAATCACAATATTTTCCCCCTATTCTCCTAAATCCCTCTATATCTTTTAATTAAATAAACATTTAGAAATAAATATTTGCACTTTATATTTATTAAAAAATTCATATGATTATTCTACAAGTCATTAAATATTTTGAAATTTTATTTTTTATTTTGACAATCGGTGAGAAAAAATGTTATTTGCACTTTTTGTTGATTGACTTGTTTAATATGATTAGTTCAGAATATTTAGAAATATGTATTTTAATATTTTTTGTCTAATAATTTGAATTTAGCGATTAATAAAAAGTGCAATATGTATGTATTTATTTTAACTGCCGGCTATATTTCAAAATGAATAGATAAGGTTGTCATTTGCACTTTTGTTATATCAAGGCTATTTAATGGCGGAAAAGCTTAATATCTATATTACTTTTATTTTTATTATTGATATCTATTTATTTTTAATTAAGGGATTGTCTTAAAAATTTTATCTGTTGTGTCCGTATTTTCAGTAAGAATATAAATGAAAATAATTAACCCATCATCGGATTGGATGGTGGCATAGTCAGTTGTGCTTATGTTTAAGCTCCTTCCATGTTGGTTCTATTCCATATCCCATCCGATGTTTTTTCCACAGCATGAACATTATATAATAATATCCACTGAAATCCTCAAAGATTTTGTAACTTCTATCTCAATAATTAATATTTTTTTCTAGGGAGCATTAACTATTATACTATTTTTAATAGTAAAATTTAGATGATTAAATTTATTATTGCTTCTTACCTATATTTACTTATTCTATTGAATATTAAATATGTTGGGGGAAAAGTTAGTATTGTAGTAAAAATCAAAAATGATTGGGAAGAAAAAAGAGAATTTATTTATTTAAAAGATGTTGAATTAAAAAAGCGTTTTGTATTGAAAAAAATTGAAAAACATATGAATCAGCATGATTCTAGCTTCAATTATAATATTGAGGGATTTTTGCGTCGTATTGACGTAAACCCTAAAGGAAATATTTTTAATATTGAAATAGATCAAAGATGTAAATTTTCTGAAGTATTAAAAAATAAAGTTTTGATTGATATTGCAAATAATAAAAATATACAAAATATTTTGATTGGATTTGAAAAACAGGTGTTTTAATTTTGCTAGAGAAGGTGCTCGCCCTTCGGGCGATCGGAGGAGCTTCGGGCGGGAGCTCACTCCCTCCCTTCTGCGGGAGCTCGCCTCTCTCTTCGGGTGAGCTCCTCCGCTAACATAATTCTCCGCTAGCCTAACAATACTTATAAGTCAAATCAAGTCATTTCCGTACATTCTTTTCCGTTGCCGAAAACCTTTTCGATCAACTATAAACTTTTCAATTATCAACTCTTAGTTGATAGGTGTTCGAGTAACTATCACTTATTAACTATAAACTTTTATAAATAGGTAATTGATATGTAATTTTATTAACTATTAAATATCATCTATTAATAATAAAGAATAATAAATTTAAAAAATCAAGAGTAATTAACTATTAGTAATTACCTTTAATAATTAATTTGTTTATAAATTTAAGTTGCTCAGGAATAATAAATTTAATAAAACGAAAAAAAATTATTATGAAACTTCTATACTAGAAGAAACCTTAGAAAATATAAAAATAAATAAAAAAGAATTATTAACAGAAAATATAAAAAATTACAAAGACAAACTTTTGTCAAGTTATTGGACGGAAATTAATTTAATTGGATATAAAATTGAATTGTTAGAAAAACAAAATGTTGAATATCCGAAAGAATTAGAAAGCAAAATTATTTACATTGGCAATAAAATAAGTAAATATATTTTTAAATTTGTCTATCTTTTTATTTGACTAAAAATTTTCTTGGATAATTATAGGTGGAATAATTGAAGTAAATAAACGAAAGTGTTTCAATTGTAGAGTTACACAAGCAAAAGGGTGGTATAGTTTACTTAAAGAACATTATTTGTGTAAAGATTGTGGCGTTTATAAACAAAGATCTGGCAAGTTTAGACCAAAGGAACATTGGTTTAAGACTAGAAAGGTTATCTTTATCAATATTTGGTTAATTTTTGTGGTTCGGGCCGTGTTTATATGCAGAAGAATTTACAGATACTGTAGCGTTTACCCAGGATATATGACCTGGATATAACGATAGATAATCCTGGGTAATAAAATGGAAGAAATCTTACCTAAGGATATTCAAATTTCTCAAAATTTTTCTTATTTTTTTGCATATGGCCTTCCAAAATTCTAAAATTTTTTGCTCGCGGAGCTTGAAAAGTAGTTAATATGGCTTCTTGGCCATGCTACTAAATAGTAACTAAAGATACATAAACATCTTCCTATTATTACCTAAATATCTAGTACCTAAACTACATTGTAACTAACTAGTACCTAAAGATCTTCTTTAGGTACCTAACTAGTACCTAAAGATCTTCTTTAGGTACCTAACTGGTACCTAAAGATCTTCTTTAGGTACCTAACTAGTACCTAAAATCTTCGAAATGTTATTTCAGTAAATCTGTATTGATAATTATAATTTAAATATTTATGCTCCAATCCTTTTCATATAATTTTTTAGCGATATGCACAAAATCGAAGTTGCTTTATTTGCGGTACAAAACAAACGATACGTTGGTACCGTGATTCAATACCTCAAAACGATTTGTGTAATAAATGTTACCATAAACGACGTAGAACAATGACGAAAACAACTAAAAATTTAAAGGATAATGAACCGAATAAAAATATCTATAATGACTAGAGAGACAAATTAAAATCCAGGCATAAAATAAATAAATCTCGTGCTGTGGACAAAAAATGTTAAAAAAGCTAATTTTTATAAACCTTTCTGACCCGTTTTATAACGTAAATACTCTAAAATAAGCCCTGGGCTTATATTTTTCAATAGGCATTTTGACTGGGCTTTTATTAGAGGCGGTCTTATATTAGAGGCTGGGCTTCTAATAGAGGTGGGCTTATATTAGAGTATTTACGGTATTCAATTTTATTTGATATCGAGGCGTTGTAGCAACTTTAAATTTAATTCAATATGTAAATAGGAAACTTGGGATTTGTGAAATCTCTTTACATCCATGACACTCCTGTTTGTTGACGATGATTATTACATTTTAGTTTAGTAACTAATAAAATTTATCGTAATTTATTATTTTATAAATTTTTATTTAAAATACAAAAAAACTTTTTAGTAAATTTTTTATTTGATAATTGTGAATTATTTATTTAATAATTAGTATTAACGTCAATTTAATAAAAAAATTACATTGTATTCAGGGCTTCGATCCGTACTTATTTTTGAAGTCTCAGGAACTTCCGAGTTTTTAAAAAACTTGAATACACGTACTTGTAAATTGACTTTTTGAAGCTTAAAATTCTTAGAATTTTCCTATGTACATACAACTAAACAAAACTCGATCGCAGCCCTATAATTAAACAATATTTTTAGCATTTAATAAACAAAAAATGTTCTAAATTAAATTATAATACTTTTACATTCTTTTTTTTTGTATTCTTTCCCTTTCATTTTTTTTGAAAAATAAAATTTATTTATGGGAGACTTGACCTTACTTAACATCTAAATCAAAAAAAAGTTGAATTGAAAAAAGGCGTAATAGAGAGGGGCATCCAAAAATGAATGAAACAAAAAACGAGAGGTGTGGCCTATTTTGATTTTTATTTGCCTAAATTATGTACAAGTTTATTTATTTTAAACTTATTGTTAGACAAATGTTGATTATTTACAACATAAAAACGTAGCAGAATTATTATTTTTATTATTTATTTAATTTCATTAATAAATTAAATTTATTTATTATTAATTTATTTAATTTTTGAATAATTTAAAACATTTATAATAATTAATCATATTGTCCAATCTATGCCATTAGGGAAAATTTTAGTTTTACTAATCGCTAAACTCTATTAGCAAATTCTAAACATTAATTTTGGATATTTATTTTTAAAAATTTATTTTTGAATTTAGTTAATATTTGTTGATATTGACCTTAATTTCAAAGATGAGGTCATTGCTGTTAAATGAATCACCAAGAGCCTATTTTTTGAGAAAACTTCTAAAAAAATTAAAAAGAACTTCCGTGTATTTCTTAAAAATGCTTAAAAAACTTGTAAAAGCATTAAAATATTTTCTGGATGAGCTTTATGATGATCTTGACAATCTGATTGATGATCTCATAAATTCTGATGATTCAAAGCGTCTTCAGGATAAACTGCTATTTGAATTTCTATTGAGTATGCTAAAAAAACTGATAATGGATATTTTAACTTTAAATTTCGAGGTAAATCAAACAATTATTTTAACTTATTATACTACTGTAAGTCGTTTAAATGTCTTCTTAAATACATTCAAACCTAATCTGGGTACACAGTCTTACTTGAGATTTAAAAAGTTCTTATTTTTTTTAATTCTTGTATTTCTTTTAATTTGGTCGGGCACTTAGTAGGGGTTAAATTGAATTCGTATAATTCCTTTTCCTTCTCTAAATTAACAGGCTTTGCGTCCTTCCTCAACCAGGGAATAAATAATTAACTATGTTCAATTTTTAGAGTCATCAAAATTTTTTTGGCTATTTGTTGACGACAATAAAAGATGTTCTAAAAGATCTTCTAAAAGATTTGCTCAAAAATCTGATAAAATTTTTTCTGAGACTTATAGTAAAATTTCTAAAAGATGTCATGCTAGAATATCTAGAAGAAATGATAGAAAATTTGATAGATATGCTAATTTCAGATGATGATTCTGATGATGATGATTATATTAGTGGTGTTTGTGGTGGTGGCGGTTGTGGTTTGTTAGATATGCTGTCTTCAGATGAGGATTTTGATGAGGATAATGATTATTCTAGTGGTGGTCCTGATGATGAATTGGAGGTATGCTACTTATTTTTCATCTTATTCTAATTAATTTTTTATTCAAAGTCTAAAATATATTAATTTAAATCTCATGTTTAGCTATAAGTTTTAGAGTTAACACTAAAAATTTTCTTAATACAAAAATGATTGTTAATTAGTATATGGATTTGGGTGTGGGTCAAAGACTATAATTTTGTTCAGCGTGTATCAAATCTAAATCTCATATCATATAGAGCACTTGATATGTGCAGCCTTTTTGCAAAGGCCAGACCTGATCTGATCACCCAATAAACATAACCCGATAAATGTGTAAAACACCAAATAATTGTATTTTCTGTTGTAACGGTTTATGAGGATTAGATGTGTTCTATAGAAAAAAATTTCTCCTATGAGTGCTTTCGAATGATATAAGAATCATTTAGATTAGATTAAGACTAAAAATTTTTTGTCAATCAAATCATTCGGGCGTCAGTTAGACTATTCTGATACTATTAAGCACAGTGAAATCTCTGACACGTCACTCCTAATGACTGATATGAGCAGCGCATGAAGGAAATTGACGTATTAGAGAGATTCAACTGTATTAAAATTTTGATAATTGTACATATGAAAATTAAAAATTTAGATTAATTTTGGTTATCTGTTGGAGCAACTAAAAGATCAACTTAAAAAGAAGTTTGAAGAAAGTGATAAAATTAAGCTAGAGAAGGTGATTATGAAGATGATTGAAGATTTGTTACAAGATGACCTTAAAAAATCGCTTACAAATTACCTACAATTAAAGTTAGAATATTTGGTAAAAGATCTAGTACAAAGTCAAAAAGTATATTTGATCGAACTAAGTAAAGAAAAACAAATTCAAGGACAACAAATTCAACAAGTATCTATGGTAAAAGAAGCTGTTTCGAAAAGAGTTTCAGCATTTGCTTCGGTAAGTCTTTCTGCAAGTGTTAGGTAAATGTTTCAAAAGATGAGGTTCTGTCACAATGAATAAATCCACTTTTTAAGATCCATTTTAAGAGTTCATTTCTATTCTTCTGTTTAATCTCATATTTAGTTTGTAATTTTAATTAAAATATAAGCATTTTGTGCTATAAATAAGTAAAAAGCTATTTGTCAAATAGAATACAATGTGCGACAAATTCGGTGCGCGATGTCTTTTTAGCATAACTAACTTCAATTTTAAATCAAAATTGGCATTTGTCACACCAACCAGGGAGAACAAAGACATTAAACATTCTCATTTAAACTTGACGTTGAAACAAATTTTTATCAAATAAATTTTTTAGGCAAATATTAACTAAAAATTAAGATTAAATTATAAAATAAAATCTATCTTATATCAAAAATTTCTTAATGTACATATTGCGAGTTGAAAAAAAATAATTATTAATTTTTGTACAAGTTGAAGTAAGTTATGATAAAAACATACCCTGGGCTTTGCCTCGCTTAATTTGCCGCACTTCGTATTTTTCAAAGTTGAACACAAATACCTAGCTCTAGAATCTCTAAAAAGTATAATTCTTATTTTCAAAATTTAGTTATTTTCGGAAGCTAAATCTCAACGACACTGCGGTCAATACGATTACTTTGGTTGACAATAAGACAATACAATTTTATTTTTAAAATTTTATAAAACGATTTAAAATTTATTACAACTCAATATATACTTCTATACTGTATTTTCTCTAAAATAATCCTCTTCTGTCGAAAATATTTTTTAATAAAAATATCCATTGAATTTTGGATTTATTTTAGATAAAATACATTTTATGCTTTAACTGATTTTTTCATATTGAAAATAAACCTGAGTAAATATTTATTTTTCATTAATTTTATTTTTGGGTTTTATTAATTATTTTTCATTTTTCCACTTAAGTTTGTTGCCCTTTTTCAATAGTTGTTAGCTATAATTGGTCAATTTTTTAATTTAGTTCCTAGTCAGTTTTTATTTTTAAGCAAAATCCCCAAATCTTTTCAAGTTAGAAGTTTGTATCAAATTAATATGGACTTAAAATTTTTTAAAAATATTTTTATCCTATCGAAGTATACAATAAAGAGGCGTTATCAGTAGTATATACACGAGTTTTATTCCACTTTTTTCTTACAAAAAAACCACAATAAAACCCGTGTATTTGTCAATTTAATTTCTTTACGAAAAATGTAACACCAATATAATCAACATCTTTATAGATTTTTAACACAAAATCAAAACCTATAGAAAGGGTGAAATCTTATTAAATGTCCTCAAGCCATCTAAAAATATAAAAAATTAAAAACTATAAACGTTTTAAAATTTTTTAAAATAATAACTGTAAAAATTTAAAAATTTTTTAACTTAAATTGAAATTTGCTAAATCGAAAAATTTTAAAAACATATATAATATCGTATTATATTTATATAATATCGTATTTTATAAAAGTTAAACTATCTGAAAAAGTAAAAAAACGATAAAAAATGAATTAAATTTAAAAGGCAAAAAAACTTTTATTAATTTCTCTATTTGTTTCCTTTTTAACTTGTCGCAAATATTATTTGTCTTTATTGTATTAAATAAAAGACAGTATAATATATAATTAAATGAAACTAGATTACAAAGTAATCTAAAAAGAAGTAAAAATTGTTCCAGAATAAAAGAAAAATGTGCAAAATCGCAATGTGCAAGTTGTAAAAGTACAAACAATATTTGTATGTAAAATATTAATAAATGAATTTATTATTGATAAAAAAGAAGTAAAAAAGGGATGTATACAAAATATTGTAAAGGGTATGTAGGAATTCAATATGATATTTGATTCAAATCTGTCTGTAATTAGAGTGTGTTATAACATTAGGCATGACGGTTACGACCCCCAGTTCAATGTTTATAGAAACTTAGACCAAACATTTGTTCTAATTTATTTTGTCACATCTCAAAATGTCCAACAGACCAAATGCACAACTTACACTCAAGTTAAAAATCTAGCGATGCTTACTGTATTTCCTACAGACAAACAATAAAAGCGACACGCCCTCCTATATGATTGGTTTAACTCAAGAAACTATGGCCAATTTAAAATTAAAATACAAATAAATTAAAACAAATTTATAAATAAACTAATGAAATATGTATATAATAAATGATTAAATAAAATATAGATGAAAAATTTTTATTGTTTGTCACTTTCTTTGTTTTTATTAGGGTCAAAACAAAAGAGACATATTAATATAATAAAACAAAAGAAAATAGTAAATTGGTGTTTTAATTGATATAGATAAAGAACGGTAAATGAATGAGGTCGTTTTTCTACTTATACTAATAACAAAAGAAAATGATAGGTAAACAAACATTACAATGAGTAATGTTAATAGTTAAGTAATAAAGTTAAGTAAACAAAGAAAAAACAGTCAAAAGTTAATTGACTTATTACAAAGCTATTTATCAAGACAAAGAAAAAGTTAATTTATCTTAAACAAACAAACGGGTTTTTATGAACGTGGTAAACATGTTAAAACAAATCAAAGTTGTTACACAAAGGAAAATGTTAAGTGATCTTAAACAAACAAACTTAGTTTTTATGACAATAAAAAAGCTATAAAAGCAGCTCATCTGTACAATATCAGTCACTCATTAATATTTTTAAAGAAAATAACTTTCATCTCCAATATCGCGTTCAAATTTTTAGTAAAAATTTAAATTATTTTTTAATCTTTTATTAATTTTTATTTATTATTTTATCAAAATTTTGTTAAGCCATTCTTTTATTAAAGTTAAACAGTAGGATCCAACTTTTTGTTTTCCACTATAATATCTACTTATCTTTATTTTTCCCAGATATAAGCTTTTAAAATAAATTGTCAATTAAATTTTATTCAATTAAGCTAATTCTAATTAATATATTATTCTATTTTAATAAATTTCGAAACATTCCTTAATATATATTCGTCAATTGTTTTAATTAATTTATTTGCATTAACTAATTACATATCCCATTGTCTTAAAATATTGAATTTATTTTTATTTTAATTAAACTATGTAAATAACAATAGTATTTTTGAAATATTTAATAGCAGATATCTGAATACATAAATATTATTTTTTATAAAATTGTTCTATTAAGCCTAAAATTCTTATTTCTAAGTTCTCATCTGAAAGCACACCCTCAATATTTACACCCCATAAGATAAATTTTCTGTTTAAATATAAAAGATACTGAAATAGTAACAAATTCTCCAATCTCCCTAAATTAATTAATTTTTAGAATTATCTTAAATAAATTTATCATTACTAATAAAATGAATTCTAAAAACTCTGCTAAAACCGGTAAGTGAATATTATATTTAAATTTAATCGAATTTATAAAAAATATCTTATAGGAAAGGGATCTGCCGAGAATAAAAGTGTCACACCAATTGAAGGTAAAAGGCTTACTGTTTTAAAAATTTTAATGATTCAGATAAAATGTCTGCTGAGGAAATTAATCAAGCTTTTGCTTATATTAGTGAACAGCGAAAAAAGAAAGGAAATGGACGAACAAAATCGCCAACTAAAACAATAAACAAAACGCCAAAAAAGTCTAAAAAACAAAAACTAAGTGAGAGCAAAGATTCATCTGGATCGGTTAGTCATTTACGGAGATTTTAGTTAATAATTTCAGATTGAAAAAACAAAAGAAATGAAGGATGATGAGGATTTACATCAGGCAATCATGAATATGGATGATGAATCGGATGATCCCAGCGCTGATGAAGTTATCGAATTGGGGGACGACGAGGAGCATTACAAACAGATGCGTATAAATAGTATGTTTTTTACATTTATTTATAATTTGATAATTTAAGGAAAGGAGAGAGCGAAATTTATAGTGCCAACAGCATTACTCAATCGTGCTCAAGCCCTTAAAAATCAAAAATCTGGTATTTTTGTATACCAGTGCGAACCTTGCCGTCTAAATCAAAAGAAAAGGGAATGTTTTCTCTTCAAAACAGGTCAACAAGGAGTTTCAGTGCTCACAATTGAATTATGTGGCGAGGATTTAGACAAAAACATTTTGCTGGAAAAACACTA